CATAAGCTGGCCAAACTTGGCCTCCAAAGCAGTCCTCAACTGGTGCTCCAGCGAAGGGCTTTGACAGTGGTCCGGGTTCAGGGTTTAGAGTTTAGGGTTTAGGGTTTAGGTGTTAGGATGTAGACTGAAAGTTTTTCTTACACAGACCATAGCGCCAAATTGAACCAAACGGTATGTTTTTCCATCGCTGTTGGGGTCTGTTGCTGAGATAATTTACTATAGATCCCTATTATGGTAACTTAAATTAAATCCCTTAACCCTAAACCCTAAACCCTAAACCCTAAATCCCTTAACGAGAACCCAGCTAAACCTAAAGCTCGTTGTGGAGCTGGCCGTGCTGACAGCTCGGGAGCTCCAGTGTAGTAGTCCAGGGATTGGGGGGTTTAGGGTTTAGGGTTTAGGGTTTAGGGTTTAGGGTTTAGGGTTTTGGATATGTGCTCTAGAGTTGGCCTTCATGGGACTTAGTATATTAAAGCTGAATAGGCTTCAAGATGTAACCTTAATTAAGGTAATTACTTAAGAACATACGTTCCCCTTTCCCATGATCCTCCAAGTACATGCCCCTGCAATGTTCCGTCTTGCAGGACTTCCTGCCCGATGATTTCGACCGGAATGAATACATTGTGGAGATTCCGCCAGGTGTGGATGCAGCGAGATGTGAAATGGGGTAATGATCAATGCTAAAGTGTACGAATACCTAGCACACCCCCTACCCGAAACGCTAGACCCTCGACCCGAATCACTGAACCCTAAACCCTAGGCCCTAAACCCTAAACCCTAAACCCCATACTTTCAGGTGTCGACAGCGCTCTCATCCTTGCCATGGTCCTGGCCTACGAGCAGATGGAGCAAAGCTATGACTCCTGAGGCCTCGCCGAAATGTAGGGGCCTTAGTAGGGTTTATAGGGTTTAAGGTTTGGGGTTCTAGGGCTTAGGGTTTAGGGTACTAGTAGCTGTATAGGGTTTAAGGTCATTGGGTTCAGGGTTTAGGGTTATAGGTTATAGGGTTCTAGGGCTTGGGTTTTGGGTTGAGGGTTTGGGGTCTGGGGTTTGGATTTAGGTTTTGCGAGTCTAGTGAGCAGTATCATTTTAGCCCCCCTCTGAAAATGTTCAAAGTCACGTGGTTTAGACCCTAAACCCTAAACCCTAAACCGTCCCTAAACCCTAAAATCCTGAACACTAAGAGTTGTCTTTAGTAGGGACATCTAGGTCTTAGGGCTCTGACTGAGGCTTCGGAGAGCTAGATTGGGGTTCCGCTAAGGGTTTCTTTTCAAGGGGTCGATAACGGACACCATATCGTTTAGGATAAGGTTTTAGTCTTGGGCCTAACCGACAGGGTGTGTTTCTACTGCTACTTTTGCCCCTACGGCTATAGCTATGGCTACTGCTACTGTATTGATGCTGTTATCGCTACTCATTTCCTGCTGCAGCTGCCGTGGCTGCATGCTGCGCTTGCTACTTGGCACTAGGCTCAGGACTTCGCGCCCCAGAATGCAGGAATATACTTCGAAACATATTAAGGAGATCTGTATGTATGTATGTATGTATGTAGGTAGGTAGGTAGGTAGGTAGGTAGGTAGGTAGGTAGGTAGGTAGGTATGTATGTACGTATGTGTGTGTATATTATATATATATATATATATGCACATGTATATATATATATACATGGTGGATATTCCTTACACCAATCAATGGGCATTGGGCTTCATGTTTTGATCTGAGTAATCGCCAAGGACCAAGGGCGCATTGGTCGCTTGGAGCGCCGGCACGTCCATGTCAGCTTCATCCATCTTTTTCTCAGACAGCCCAAAACTAGGAGTCCTCGTAGATGAAGCATACCTTGCAGCATGTCGCTTGTTTTGGGCTCTCTGATCTGCAGCCTGCCCAGAAAATCTGTTGTGGGCTTGTTTGAACGGTGAGGTCCTGAATCCACCACAAGAGCCGCGAGAAGTTTCGTTGTAGTACCGGTCACTTTAGGGCTTAGGGTTCAGGGTTTAGGGTTTAGGGTTTGAAGCGACAGATGCTTCTCTTGTACCAAACCCAGCCAGAAGCAGATTCTGCTTTACCGGGTAGAAGCGTGACGCGAAGCGGCTGTGTTCCCAATGATTGAAATCATGTGGGAGTTTCCGAAAGTAGGGGGTACCTTATTTGGGGGTCCTTTTTATAAGGATCCTACTATTTAGGGTACTATATTAGGGTCCCCTATTTTCGGAAACTCCCATGTAGAACTACCTCAGAACACGAACGTTTCACGGTGCTCATGAGCTGGGGCTCGTCGGAATGATAATATGAAAGCTGGATCTACCGTGTTGAGAGTCAACATTCGGTTCAGTAGAACGTCCTAGGAACCCACCTGCAATGATTCAACTGAATACCATAGTTGTCGGAAGGGTTGGCATTACGTCATCCTTAGGTTCCTTATTACAAGCATACTGTCATGCACCATGATTTGCCCCAAAACCCTAATTCTTAACGGCCTTGCCTTAGCCCGAAAGCCCATGATGTTAAATCTTGAAGAGTGGAGCTGGTCTAGGTCTCATTCTACATGGGAGTTACGGCCAGGGGTGCATCGTGGTCCTTAATCAATACAGCATGAGCCATGGAGTCTGAGCTACCCTGAAACCCCGATGCCTTGAAGCACGACATCCACTCCAACCCAAACCCTAAACCCTTAACGCTGAGGCCTTCTAATGCATTAATTGTCCTTAATCCGGTTTCCAACTTGTTGGGGTTTACTGTAACCACCACGGTCGCCTTGACGAGCCTCTCTCTGACCCTTGCATGATTCGCTTTGAGGTGCACGTGACCGTGGCATGCAATTGGCGTGAAAGCAGTGGGGCAAAAGCTCCCAGGCCCTTGGCTTTGGGGTTTCGGGCATGTACTGGGTTCTTTGGTGTGAAAGCAGTTGGGCAAAAGCTCCCAGGCCCTAGGATTTAGGGGATTTCGGGCATATGCTGGGGTTCTTGTTAAGGAACTTACTGTAAGTTACCATAATAGGGATCCAAAGTAAATAATACGGTTTCCTTACTATACTAACTTAGTTTAGTTCCCTTAACAAGAACCCAGTATACCCCAAGGATCAAGAGACTTCGCGCGCAAGAGGTTGGAACTGGGGCAACCTCAGTTTAATCAAGGTGCTTATGCGACTTTCGTCCAGCTGTCGTAGTCGAGATCGTCGTCAATCGTCGTCCTGATCGTTGCTCTGCCCCTGCTCTGTCTCGTCCTCATCCTTTTGCTCTCCTTCCTCGTCCGCCTGTTGCTCCTTCTCAACATGATCATTGCCTTTGGCTATGTCCATTAACAGCACTATTGCAGTCATCATCATCATCATCATCATCACCATCATCATCATCATCACCATCATCATCATCATCACCATCATCATCATCACTTCATTTTCATCATCATTCTGTTGACCTTTTACATGGTATTCGAGTTCTCTGTTCCCAGATACACCTTAAACCATAACATTAAGGCCCCTGTACTTTAAGGTATATTCCTTAAACAATAGTATTTAAGGCCCCTATAACTTGAGGTGCTTTCCTTTTTTAAGCGCTATTCAGCTCTCTGGGTCCCTCATGCTTCTACGATCTTCATGATGTTCATCAACGTGTTTCCTCGCTTTCAAGTCCACCTCCTCTACCTTCGTTTGGGGTTTAGGGCTTAGGGGTTTAGGGGTTTAGGGTTTAGGGTTTAGGGTTTCGGTTTTAGGAGTTTAGGGTTTAGGGGTTTAGAGGCTTAGGGGCTTTGGTGTTTAGGGTTTAGGGGTTTAGGGGCTTAGGGTTAAGGGTTTAGGGTCTAGGGGGAAGACAGCGGACCCACGAGTTTTAGAAGCCATCGTCCCAGGGGTGGCACCGTACACAATCCTCCTGAAGCTTGGATGGAGTTTAGGGTTTAGGGTTTAGGGTTTAGAGCACGGCCACAACCCTTTCAACGCCTGCATGACTCTTTTTCTGGCTCAAGGGCAGCTCCGTTTCAGGTCGCCCCCCCAGTAATGAGAGATGCGCATTTGTTTCAGCGGTCATGGTTTAGGATGCGGAGTCGGGTTGCCTTCAACGGGCTTAGGGTTTAATAGGGTATAGTCGGGTTTAGGGCCTTAGGGGTTTAGGGGTTAGGGCTTTAGACTGTAGAATATCGCGAGTTGAGGTTTTTGCTTTTTGTAGAGTCCCAGCGGCATCAAGCACCTGAACTGACTAGTAGCCTGACCTGTTTGTGACGAGCTTCCAGGCCTCATGGTTCAGAAGTTTGCAGTATGGCACCAATATAGGGGCCTAAATAATTGCCGATTTTTTTTTGGGGGTTCCTTATTATATATATATATAGATATAGTATAATAAGGCCCCTACATCATAGCCTTATAGTAACCCTTATAGTATCCCTTTTAAGGACCCCTTCAAAGGAGGCCCAATTTAAATTATTTAAAGGCCGCCAAAACCACGCGTCAACTTCGAGGGCTCCCTAGGATCTGCCTGCTTGACCTGCTGGTGACGGATCTCGTGCTGAAGGCCCTTCCGTCGATCTGCAGAAGCTTTAGGGTCGAGGGTTTAGGGTTT